ATAGGCATTTCAACATCCCCAATGGTTATTTTCTGGTCCGGGAAGAAAGTCCCTTCCTCCAGCTTTCGAAACAGAAGAGACTGCCTGAAGACGCGAGCATCATGTACCCTTCCCGGCCAGCCCACGTTGATGTCGGTGAAACGTCCCTTGTGATCCACCAGGGCTTGCAGCAGCATTGAAAAGTACCCCTTGCGGTTTATGTAGTCGGTGGCTTGGTGCGCCGGTGCCAAGATAGGGATATGGGTTCCGTCTATCGCCCCACCACAGTTTGGGAATCCCATTGCAGCAAAGCCATCCACTATGGTCTGCACGTTTCCCAGAGTCACTACCCTTGATATCACCAGGTCTCTCATTGCCCTGGCAACTTGGATCACAGCAGCCCCCACAGTAGATTTGCCCACTCCAAATTGATTCCCCACTGACCGGTAGCTGTCTGGCGTTGCAAGCTTCCACAGGACTATCGCCACTCGCTTCTCCACTGTGAGGGCTGCTCTCATCCTGGTATTCTGGCGCTTCAGGGCAGGGGAAAGCAAGTCACAAAGTTCCATGAAAGTGCCCTTACGCATGCGAAAGTTTCGCAGCCACTGGGCATTGTCCCAGACCTGCAACACGATGCGGTCCCACCAGTCTGTGCTTGTTTCCCGGGCCCAGAATCGGCGGTCCACGGCATGAACCTGCCCCAGTAACACCATGATTTCCACATTGCTGGGGCCTGTGCCTTGTGAGAGGTCCATGTCAATTTCCTCATCACTATCGTCGCCGCGCTGCAATCACCTCCTCCTCAGCTGGTCCTGGTTTTGCTTTGGCATGTCCAGGAGGCTCTGCATATACTCCAGGACAATGCACGTGGTGTTCATAGTGCTCATAATTGCCGCGGTGATCTGAGCGGGCTCCATGATCCCAGTGCTAGCTATGGCGTCTGGTCTGAAAAAAGGCGCGAAAGTAGTATCTGACAGACCAGGGGAAGGAGGGAGGAAGGGATGGAGGGAGGGGCGAGTGACGACATGGCGTACAGGTACAGGGAATTAAAATCAAGAAAGGTGGCTTTGCATCAGGGAGAAACACAAACAACTGTCACACAGAATGCCCCCCCCCAAAGATTGAACTCAAAAGCCTGGGTTTAGCAGGAGGGAGGGGGGAAGCAAATGAATACAGAATAAATCTATTTTTTACATCTTAAGACGACGGTGCAGCATGACTGATAGCCCTTGGCATTTTCTGGGTGCTTGGCAGCAAATACTGGGCGCTTGGCAGTTAGCCTTCAGGTCTACTGCACAATATGATACCCACTGCAGTATGACAACGATGGATACCAGTCGTAATATACTATCTACTGCCCAAAAGGCAAGGGGTTGCTGCTGTGTAGCAATCTAGCCCCATCCTACGCATAGTACATCTGATAACCATCATCATCAAGGCAAGGGGGCTGGTGCAATGCAGCCCCACGGCTGCCAGCCCCATGTCTGCCAGCACCCAGATCGCCATCGGCCTCTTCTGGGTGCTTAGCAGACAATACTGGGCACTTGGCAGAAAATAGCATACTACGACTGATAACCATCATTGTCTGCCCGGGTGCCCATGATCGACAGCCACTGCAGTACGACGACGACGGATACCAGTCGTAATAAACCATCTTCTACCAAAAGGCAAGGGGCTGGTGCAATGCAGCCCCACGGCTGCCAGCACCCAGATCGCCAATGAAGGCTACCAGTCATGCTGCACCGTCTACCGCCAAAAGGCAGTAAGCTGCTGCTGCTGTTTAGCAATGCAGTCCCACGTTTGCCGGCACCCGGAAGACATATGGTGACGGTGAGCTGAGCTGAGCGGGCTCAATGCTTGGCGTGGTATGTTGTCTGCACAGGTAAACCAGGTAAAAAGGCATGAATCTATTGTCTGCCGTTGCTGTGACGGCGGGGGAGGGGACTGACGCAATGTACCCAGAACCCCCCGCGGCACTGCTTTGCATCATTCGGGCATTGCGATCTCAACCCATAATTCCAATGGGCGCCGGAGACTCCGGGAACTGTGGGATAGGTACCATAGTGCAATGCGCCGGAAGTCGACGCTAGCCTCGGTACTGTGGACGCGGTCCGCCGACTTCATGCACTTAGAGCATTTTATGTGGGGACACACACAATCGGCTGCATACAGCCGGTTTCTATAAAACCGGCTTCTATAAATCCGACCTAATTTTGTAGTGTAGACATACCCTTAGGGTTTTCTATAGCAGTAACTGCTACAGGATCTGAGTTCTGGATAGACACTACATGGCATATTTCTTAATGTATTTGTTTTAATACCCTCTTTATCTCAAAAGGCAAATTGCTAATAAAATACTTTTGATGCACAATCATCCATCAAAAATACTTATGGACCACTAAGGTTCTTTCCCTGTATGCATGGACATATTGGGGACAAACACTAAGTTATCAGTAGGGAGGAGAGAGGCTAAAAATAGAATACTTAGCACTTGTAAAGTTCTTTATGTCTTCAAAGCTCTGTGCAAACCTTAGCCTTTTTTCATAGGAGACCTGCATGAAAATCCTTGTCTAGGTTGCTGATAGACAGGCATCTGAGTGTCATGCTTATTCCCATTGGACAGTTGTCCATTTTACAGTATCACTCCTCAGTTTAGTAGATTTGTTGGTCACTGCTCAAAAGGGACCCAGGAGTGGCACAAGAGTTGATGTCACAGGTCAAACTTGAAGTGGGAGAGAGATTTTGCCATCTAAGGAAAAACTGAGAAGCTCTTTATGACAGGTTTCAGAGTAGCAGCTGTGTTAGTCTGTATCCGCAAAAAGAACAGGAGTACTTGTGGCACCTTAGAGACTAACAAATTTATTTGAGCATAAGTTTTCGTGGGCTACATCCCACTTCATGCATCCGAAGAAGTGGGATGTAGCCCATGAAAGCTTATGCTCAAATAAATTTGTTAGTCTCTAAGGTGCCACAAGTACTCAAGCTCTTTATGGTTTAATTAAACTTACAGTCTTTGATTGGTTTCGGATGGAGGCATTTTCTGCTTGTTTCATGCCCAGTGGAAATACAGTACTCTGAAAGCATGACTTGTAAGAATCTTACATTTATACACCCACAGGAGACGGACGTCAGATACTGTGCCTGCCATCAGCTCAGCCGGATGGTTAATTTACTAACAAATTGAGCTGGATTTTAGCTTTTTACTGGAGAATTTCTGCAGTAAATTTCTGTGCTAATTTGGCATCTGTTTCCAGGGCAGTTTTAATTTTTTTTTTCCAGCACAAACGCTTAGTTGGTACAATAATAGGAAAACTCCTGTGCTTTTTTTGTTGTGGGGGGAGATGTTGGTGAAAGTAGCTCACTAGAAGGGTGAGTAGGGGCAGCTGTTGTCTTTGGCTCAGGAGAGCTTTGGCATTTGTTGAATCTACTGAGGAAACACATGCTTAAAATCTACAGCAGTTAAACCCAGCTTCTAAAACAGCAGATAAAAGAAAGGCCACATGTTCAGTTTCAGTTGGTTCAGTTCTTGTTAATAACTATAGCGTGCTCTGGCTATAGAGCCATAGGTGTGGGTGACACTTTACCAGGTTCCCAGTCTCGAGGGACTTACAGTCTAACACAGTATAGGGTCTAGTCTGGTATCACTCTGCTGAATTAGAAGATACTGCATAAAATAGTTGGGACATGAGGCTGTAAGAGCGTGGAGCTAAACAGGTTTCATCCCTACATCTGAACTTGGAATGATGCCTCCTCTAACTGTAATGGGGGTGAACTTCAGCATGTTCTGAGCAGGTTATATAACATGAATCCTAGTATCCTGGCATCTGCCTTCTCCCAGTAGGTGTTTAGCCAGTGCATTTGGTCCTATACCATTGAGGTCAATGGGAGTTTTGCCGTTGAGAAAAATAGGTGCAGGGCTGGACCCAACATGTTGGAACATCAAATACATAATACAAGCCTGAGCCCTCCTAATGCCGTGTGTATGACTGAACCCAAGGAGCATACTAACATAATCTAAGTGGGGCATCTCTAGCCCAGAATGAGGCACAACAGTGGGCCCAGAGGTACATTCCTGCTTCTGCAGCATGGGGAAAGGACCTGCACCCTCACCACAGACACCGAGTAGGGAGTTTCTAAGAATATAAGAATGTCTTCCAACAGTGGCCAGTGCCAGGAGCTACAGAGGGAATGAACAGAACAGGGCAATTATTGAGTGATCCATCCCATGTCATCCAGTCCCAGCTTCTGGCCATCAGAGGCTTAGGGACACCTAGATCATGGGATGTATCCGTGACCATCTTGGCTAATAGCCATTGATGGACCTATCCTCCATGAACTTATCACTTATTTTTTGAACCTAGTTATAATTTTGGCCTTCACAATGTCCCCTGGCAACGAGTTCCACAGGTTCACTGTGCGTTGTGTGGAGAAGTACTTTTTTTCTTTGTTTTAAACCTGTTGCCTATTAATTTCATTGAGTGACCATGGATTTATATAGTGGCATTATGATATGTACTGTCTTATTATGTATCCCTTTCCTAATGGTTCCTAACATTGTTAGCTTTTTTTTCTGCCACTTCACATTGAGCAGATGTTTTCAGAGAACTAGCCACAATGATTCCAAGATCTCTTTCTTGAATGGTAACAGCTAATTTAGAACCCATCATTTTGTATTAGGGCTGTCAAGCAATTAAAGACATTAATTGCAATTAATCATGAGATTAAAACATTAATCAAGATTAAAAAATTAAAAAAAAATTAATCGCAGTTTTAATCGCACTGTTAAACAATAATAGAATACCATTTATATATATGGAGATATACCTATCTCATAGAACTGGAAGGGACCCTGAAAGGTCATCGAGTCCAGCCCCCTGCCTTCACTAGCAGGACCAAGTATTGATTTTGCCCCAGATCCCTAAGTGGCCCCTCTCAAGGATTGAACTCAGAACCCTGGGTTTAGCAGGCCAATGCTCAAACCACTAAGCTGTAACTATCCACCCTCCGCCTCCTCACTTTAGGTCCTGGAGAACTCCCAGGTCGGGTTCCTACAGGAGGAAAGACAAGGACAAGGGGCATAAATGGAAATATCCTTCTTTCCGCTCAGTTGCGCAACCTGACGCCCCCCAGAAACCAGGGAGGCCAGAAGCAGTCGTTATGAGGATGCGCCCAAGAACAATGTCCCAGTCAATCTGCTGGATCCATCTTTCCTCAGCTGCCTCCACCCTTTCCAATCGGCCTGGTCTTGTATCATCTCAGACCATTGGGTGTGCGACACCATTTCGTTGGGCTATACCCTGCAGTTTGTAGCCGGCCCACCCCCCTTCCCTGTCCCTCTTCAGGGACTCTTCTCACAAGCAATTGTTATTCCAGGAGGTCGAGAACCTCCTGCACCTGGGGGCAGTAGAGGAGGTTCCTCGGGACATGGTGGGAAAAGGATTCTACTCCTGTTATTTCCTAATCCCAAAGGCAAAAGGGGGTCTCAGACCCATCTTGGACCTGTGTCTCAAGAAGTTGAAATTGTGCATGGTCTCCCTGCTTCCATCATCCCCTCTCTGGATCTGGCAGACTGGTACACCGTCCTCGATTTAAAGGACACATATTTCCACATTTCCATTTTCCCAGGGCACCGGTGCTTCCTCCATTTCATGCTGGGCCAGTGCCGTTTCCAGTTCACGGCAATGCCTTTTGGTCTCTCGTCGGCCCCGAGAGTGTTCACAAAGTGCATAGAGCCAGTGGCCGCTTACCTGTGACATCGAGGAGTCCGAATTTACCTGCACCTTGATGACTGGTTGATAAAGGGCTGGACCCAAGATCAGGTGTGGAGGCATCTCTATCTGGTCTGTTCCACCTATCGCGACCTGGGGCTGGTAATAAACAAGAAAAAGTCAATCTCAACCCTGGTGCAATGCATAAAATTTATTGGGGCAGTCCTCGACTCCACTCGGGCCAGGGCCTTCCTCCCTGAGACCAGGTTCCAAGCCATGGTGGATCTCATCTTGTCTGTGTGAGCCCAACTTCTCACCACTGTCCACACATGCCTGAGACTGTTGGGTCACATGGTGGCATGCACTTATGTGGTCTGGCACGCACAGCTCCGCCTCAGTCTATGACCCCAACCGGCACAGCGTGGACTGGGTGGTCAGGATTCCGGACAGCGTTCTGTCATCACTCACGTGGTGGCAGGATCCTGCATCAGTGCTGGAAGGGGTCCCCTTCGCGACTCCATCCCCGTCGGCAACTCTCGTCTCCAATGCCTCGGACCTGGGGTGGGGAGCCCATCTGGGCACTCTCAGCATGCAAGGTCATTGGTTCAGTCGCGATGGCTCCCTGCATATCAATGTCAGGGAGCTCAGAGTGGTTCGCCTGGCCTGCCATGCCTTCCTGCCTCAGTTGCAGGGCACCGTGGGGCAGGTCCTGACGGACAACATGGCGACCGTCTTCGATATCAACAGGCAGGGTGGAGCCAGGTCGTCTGTCCTCTGCCAGGAAGCACTCTGGCTCTGAGACTTCTGTCTGCAGCACGATAGCCATCTTGTAGCTGCTCACCTGCCTGGAGCCAAGAACGCCTGGGCAGATCGCCTCAGCAGATCCTTCTTGTCTCACCACAATTGGTCCCTCCATCCGGCTTTATCTTCTGCAAGTGAGGAATTCCCCGGGTGGACCTGTTCGTGTACGGGCAGAACAGGAAATGCCGCGCTGGTGCTGTCACAGATAATGGGTCCCCTCTTTGAGCCTTTGGCTTCCTGCTGTTGCCTCCTCCTGTCCTGGAAGGTGGCCTTCCTGGTCGCAGTGACATCAGCCTGCCGGGTCTCAGAGATTAGGGCGCTCACCTCGGAACCACCCTATACAATCTACAGGGACGAGGTCTAGCTGAGCCCACACCCGGCCTTCCTGCCAAGGTGGTCGAGCCAGGACATTTCATACAAGCCAAGACATTTTCTTTGTCTTTTTCCCAAAGCCGCATAAGTCAGAGGAGAGTAGGCTACATTCCCTAGACGTCAGGAGGGCGCTAGCCTTCTACATTGAAAGGACCAAGCCATTCTGCAATTTGCCTCACTTGTTTGTCATAGTGGCGGGCGGGCTGGCGGAGGGATAGCTCAGTGGTTTGAGCATTGGCCTGCTAAACCCAGGGTTATGAGTTCAATCCTTGAGGGGTCCATTTAGGGATCTGGGGCAAAAATCTGTCTGGGGATTGGTCCTGCTTTGAGCAGGGGGTTGGACTGGATCACCTCCTGAGGTCCCTTCCAACCCTGATATTCTATGATGAGAGGCCAGCCAATGTCTGCGCAAAGAGTTTCATCGTGGATCACCGCCTGAATCAGGCAAAGGTGCCACCTCTGGCAATTGTAACCGCCCACTCGACCAGGACACAAGCCTCTTTGGCAGCCCTTCTGGCCCAAGTGCCTATTCATGACATCTGCAGGGTGGCCACCTGGTCATCCGTCCATATGTTCACATCCCACTATGCGCTGACCCAGCAGGCCCCAGGATGATGCCGGCTTCGGTAGGGTAGTACTGCAAGGCGCCAGATTGTAAACTCGAGCCTCCATCCAAGGATACTGCTTGTGAGTCACCTAGAATGCAATCAACATGAGCAAGCACTCGAAGAAGATAAAACGGTTACTCACCTTTTGTAACTGTTGTTCTTTGAGATGTGTTGCTCATGTCCATTCTATTACCTGCCCTCCTACCCCTCTGTCGGAGTTACCGGCAAGAAGGAACCAAGAGGGCCTAGGGTTGGCGGCGCCTAATATACCAACACATGAGTGTAGCACTCAAGGGGGTGCCATGGCCGACCCTACGGATACCACTAAGGCAGAAATCTCTGACAACTGTGCACGTGGGCGCGGATACACCTAGAATGGAATGGACATGAGCAAGTATTGTAGTGCAATCTCTATCATGAAAGTTGAACTTACAAATGTAGAATTATTATTTTGTTTACATAACTGCACTCAAAAATAAAACAATGTAAAACTTTAGAGCCTACAAGTCCTTTAAAGCAGGAGGAGGGTCCAGGAGGAGACAACAGGAAGGACGAGGTGGGAAGGGGGAAAGCAAGCAATGACTTGTGCAGGAGGAGGGTGAGGGATGTGTCTTGCTGCTGCTTCTGGAAGGGTGGTTTCTGGTACTGAGCTCGCTAGGCTCACCTCCTTTTACTGAGCTAGGTGGGCTTCCTTCAGCTGAGTGAGCCCTTGTTTGGAAGGGAGTGTGGATTTTACCTCAGGAACTCGGCATGCAGCAGGGAAGAAGGGGCTGGTGTAGCGGGGGCTGAGCTCGCCAGGCCCCTGTTCTCTGTGGGGTACTGTCTGGGGGCAATGTGGCACGGTGTGGGATGGGGGAGTCGGTCCCTGGAGTAAGAGTCTGACCAGGGGCAACGGTGCATGGTGTACAGGAGGTAAGGAGGGTCCCGGAGCAAGGGGCTCGCCAGGGGCAATTGGACACGGCGTGTGGGGGGTCAGTCCCCAGACTGAAGGACCAGCCGGCTGGGGGCAATGGGGCACGGCTTGGGGGCATGGGTTGGTTCCCGGAGCGAGGGGCAGGCCGGCCGGGGGCAATGGGGCACAGCCCCAGGGGGCAGGGAGGGGCCGGTCTCGGAGGCAATGAGGCACAGCGTGGGTGAGGGGTGTTGGTCCCTAGGGCCAGGGGCTGGCTAGGGGCAATGAGGCATGGTTGTGGTAGGTGCCTCTCTCTGCTCCCAGAGATATGCGATTAACATCGTTAAAAAATTAACGTTTTAATTTTATTTTCAGTTAATCGCAGGCATTAATTACAATTAATTGACCACCCTATTTTGTATGTATAGTTGAGATGATGTTTTCCAATGTTCATTACTTTGCATTTATCAAAGTTGAATTTCATCTGCCAATTTGTTGCCCGGTCCCCCAGTTTTGTGAGATCCCTTTGTAACTCTTTGCAGTCTACTTTGGACTTAACTATCTTGAGTAACTTTATATCATCTGCAAACTTTGCCACCTCACTGTTTACCCCTTTTTCTAGATCATTTATGAATATGTTGACCAATACTGGTCCCAGCACAGATCCTTGCAGGACCCCACTATTTACCCTCTGTCCATCCTGAAAACTGACCTTTTATTCTGACCCTGTGTGTCCTGTCTTTTAACCAGTTACTGATCCAGGAGAGGACCTTCCCTTTAATCCCATGACTGCTTACTTTGCTCAAGAGCCTTTGGTGAGGGACCTTGTCAAAGGCTTTCTGAAAGTCCAAGTACGCTATATCCACTGGATCACCCGTGTCCACATGTTTGTTGACCTCCTCAAAGAATTCTAATAGATTGGTGAGGCATGGTTTCCCTTTACAAAAGCCATGTTGACTCTTCCCCAACAAATCATGTTAATCTCTGTGTCTGAGAATTCTGGTTCTTACTATAGTTTCAACCAATTTGCCTGGTACTGAAGTTAGGCTTGCCAGTCTGTCAATACCAGGCTCGCTTCTGGAGCCTTTTTAAAAAACTGCCGTTACATTAGCTACCCTCCAGTCATCTCTATAGAGGCTCATTTAAATGATAGCTTACATAGCATAATTAGTAGTTCTGCAGTTTCATATCTGAGTCATTTCAGAACTCTTGGGTGAATACCAGCTGATCCTGGTGATTTATTACTGTTTCATGTATCAATTTGTTCCTATACCTCCACTAATTTTACCTCAATCTGGGGAAATTCCTCAGATTTGTCACCTAAAAGGAATGGCTCAGGTGTGGAGATCTCTCCCACATGCTTTGCAGTAAAGACCAATGCAAAGAATTCTCGGTGGGGAACTGCAGAGTGGATCTTACCTTTCTGGCCTCTGCCCCGAAAACTGAGATTCTGATTTTCTGCTGCCCTGTGCCTAGTATTATCATTTACACTGGGGTGGGTGTGAAACATGTGGGTGTGAAACATGACCAGGTCACCATGGTAGAATTTTACACCCATTTTGCATAGGAGTAAATGACAACACAGGAACACAGAGTGCAGGGCCTACGCCAGGCCCTGAAACTGTTAGGAATAGGCTCCCCCAGCCACCTTCTGAACAACCCAGGAGGGAGCTAGCATCACGCCTAGATATATTGCAGGG